AGTCATTTTATACTCGGATTGTATAAGTAAAATATTCAAACAATCCATCTGTCTTAATTATGCTTTTCTACTCCATCAAATTTTCCTTAAATATGTTTCTAAAAGATTGGGTTTGTAATCTTATAATTTCAACTAATTAGAAGTAAAAAAACAAATTTCTAAACAACAACATGATTTGGTGGTTCCACCACAGATATAATCATTATTTGAAAGAAAACAAGTTAACTTAAACAAAAGGTTAGTGGCCCAGATCCTTCGCTTAAGCTGGTTTGTCTTCTGGACCTGAAATAAATATTGTCATCATCATTCATATTATATCCATTAGCCATGATTTGAGTGTATATGGGAAATATAGACGAAAATAATTATATTAAAATCTTGTAATTAACACACAAACACAACTCTAGGTCCTGCAGTGGTTCTCACATAAATATTAAGAAATAGTGTGATTGCTATTATGTCACAAACATTAAAAACTCACTGTTATTATTAAATTAATTTGTCCAGATATATTCAACGGGGCTCATATTATTGCACAAACAAGTAGGCTTATATATAGTCTTCATTATTCAACCTTGATTCAATTATATAATATGTAAGCATAAAATCTAAACCTACGTAATGGAGGATTTGATTGTAGTATTCCTTTTAAATGGTTTGATTTCTCTTTCACTACTAAAACTCAGTTATATAATTCAGATATCTTAAAAAATTATATTATATATTGGTTATAAATATACTCCAAAAAAATTTATCAATAAAGATGTTCTTATTTATGTTTTTTGAACTGATTTTATGATGTATTCTTTACCTATTTTGTTGTTTTGGTTTGGTTCTTGGATATCTCTTTAATTGTTCAGTTTTTGGCATGGCCGGTAAATCAGGTACAAACAGTGCGACCGTCCCCGGATCGAAGCCCATGCCTCCATTTATATTAGTAGTTAAGAGATCCACTTTTTAATAAATACATATTTTACATAGAAAAATTTAAATTTTTTATAGGGGCCCAATAATATTTTATATGTATACAAAATATTACAGTTTCAATTTTTTAAAAAATAATATATTTACAACACTATAAATATAAATTTTAAAAGGTAAAAAACAAAATTGCCCTAGGACCTCTAAAAATGGTAAGCCTGCCCTTTGGCTCCAGTGATTTTTTTGTCCGCTGATTTTGGTTCTGAGTAGGGCCGTTCAATATGGTAATATCGAACCGTACTGAACCGAAATAGACAATATGGTTTGGATTTGGTATATACCATATAAACCGAATGGATATGATTTTATAAAAACCGTAGGATTTGGATATGGTTAGGTTTATAACTGATTAAACCAAATAAATCGAACAAAACCGATCAAAGAAAAAATATATAAATATATATATTATATAACCTTTTATTTTCTTGGAATAATTTTTTTTTTACTTTTTTATTCCTTTTGAAGATATATCTTAATGATTTTATTTTATTTCTTCAACTATTATCTAAATTTGATTTGATTTTGCATGTTGTCAGAAATTATGAAATTAGATTGTACCATGTAATTTATTTGGAAGAACAAAGAGAAAATAAGAAAAGTTGTACAAAATTGGATCGTTGGTCGTTTTGTTTGTTGTGAATTTCACATTTTTATATTTATGAACACCTAAGATTATTTTAATAAATGATAGTTTTGACAATATGTTTTTTTAAAAAAAATTCATATAATATAAGACCAAATCAAATAATAATGTTATTTGGTATAAAACCGAATAAACCAAAAATCGGTAGTATAAATACCGAACCAACCAAATTAAATATGGTTCCAATATGGTAGCTAATTTTTATAAACTGAATAATCGAAAACCGGAAAAAATCGAACCGAAACCAGATCTAACACCAGATTGAACCGGCCTAATTCTGAGGGTTCTATCAAACTCGTCGATTCTAAGTCTAAAATAGTAAAATGTAATCTTTCGTTTGAAAGATCAATTTAATCCTCTAGTGACAAAAAATAGTGAACAACAATGATTGAAATCTCAAAAGGAAGACTTCAACCATTAGACGACCCATAACGCGTTGGTCGATCATACTACTTTTTAATGAAGTTTGGCAGAAAACTAAGCATACTGTGGTAACAAAAGCATTAATATAATCAGTTTTTGCTTTGTCTATATGGATATGCCATACATCGAATTTTTTTTTGTTGCTAACAACCATTTATACATCGAACTTGAACTGTGGAATATTTGAAACACGTGAGTACAATACAACCACTAAACTACAAGATATTTGAATATGAAAGATACAGTTGTAATCGTAACATATACAGTTAGCTCGACGTTTGGTAATTAAGTTTAGCTACATTTCATGATTATATGTAGGATATATCTCTATTAAAATAGAGTTATTTTTTTATCTACTAATACAAGTTGTCATTCAAATTTGAACCATTTCTAAAGTGTTACAAATAATACAAACCATATAGTTAATTAAACTGCATTATTTAAATTAAACCGATAGTTATTTATGGGATATAGTCTTGGGGTTACTTTTGTTTTTAGGACAAATTATATGGTTTGATTTTTGGACTTAGTATAAAGGAAAAACTCCAAGAAAACATTGAATAAACTTTCCACCTTAATGGATCAAAAAATCAATTATTATTTTCAGACCCAAAGATATTTAATATTTTTAACAAAAAAAAATTGTCTATTATTAATCATTTATTTAATATGTTAATGTATTTTTTATTTTAAATAACAATCACTTTGTTTTGATGAATTTCAATGGTAACTTAAAAAAAATGTATTGTTTTATTTTTCTTAAATAATTTACTGATTTAAAAAATAAATGTAAAGCAATACCAAAAACCAAATCTAAAAACTAAAATTCAAAACCAAAAGCTGAAAACGCAGGTTATATTTTTTGTTTTTGTTTATTTACAAAATAAACTATTGCCATTTTTTAAAAAAAAAAATTATCATCTTTTCAGTTTTAAATTAGATGTTCGATTATTTGAGATTTGTTTGTTGGTAATGTCAGTTCAAACTAACTCAACGGATCTAAAAATTAAAAACTCAAACCAAAAGCTAAAATCAAAAATAGAAACTTAAAAACTAAAAACCAAAAACCAAAAACGAAAACAAAAATGTAAAACAAATCTAAAAATAAAAACTAAAACTAAAAACTAATAAAAAAAAATCATCACCACAAATTTTGGTGAACTGATTTTATTACAAAATATTCTTTAAATTAAGACAAAATCCAATTATATAAATTTTTAATAATGAGAGTAACTACTCCTATGAACAAAATATTTTGGAAGGTTTTGATAGATACATTAGTACAGTTTTATTATATTTTTGTATCACTCAACCATATTTCAGATACTTCTTTATCTACATCAACAGATTCTTCCCCATGCTTGATCGGCCGTTGTATTGTACGGGAAGTCACAGACACTCAGGTATCTTTTTTAATCTCAAGTTGTGTATACAATCAATCTCCACACGTGTTAATTCAAGTTGTGTATATACATTTAATTACTGTATGAATCCAAAAATAATTAATCTTTAATTTAAAATCATGTTAGTTTCCAATGTCAGATCTCATCGCATATGTAGCTAGTCAAATCTCTACACACATTAATTCGAAGTTGATCCAAAACAATGCCCACATAAAACAAAGTGATAGTTACATAACGTAAATAACAATTTTAAGAATTTCTAAATAGGTAATAACTCAACAGACCCAATGAATATTTATAATTAAGAAATTTTCAACCAACTCTTATAAAACGGGTGACTTATTCATATAAGAATTTATTTTGATCATTTTATATGATTGAGCATCTAATTTATCAATGCTATTCTACTAGATCTTGAATCCTTGCTATCAAATCCTTACAAAAACCTTGATATGTGGAGTATTTTGAGTAATACTTTCATGGCCTATAAAAGCATTTCTATTTCTGCATATGATGGTTATTGCATCCAGAAATATGTTAAATCTTTGTACACCAGCAAATCCAGCATTCAGTACATTACGTCTTTTAGAATTAAAAAAATTGTTTTTATTAGAGTAAGTATATGTTCCTAAAGGGAAAATAAAATGGGATTTTGAGACTAATATAAATATAGATATAAGAAATTGTAAAATTATTCATTCACATAATAATATACAAATTCTAAACAAGTATTTACCTGAGTATGTTTTTGCTTTTTTTTTCTTCGATTTGATTTGCGTTTGTTCATAACAATGGTGATAATCTTTCTGTTAAGATGAATCTTTCGAGTTCCAACTAAATTATAAACTTTACTCTTAAACTATAATATTTATAGATAAAATGTGAAATTGTCTAAACTCATCTAAAATTATCAAACAAATATGTTATTTATTTATTTCTAAATACCACTCGCCTTGTCAGCTGTTACAATTGAATACAAACTTTTTTGACCAAAAAGAAAAGAAAATAATACAAATACTTTATAAAAAAAAAATCAAGATCTCTTGATAATTTATTAAAATACAAAAAGCAAAATCGACCAGATCGGATAACTGGTTGCTCCATATTGTGGATATGCGATCGTCGGCCAAATTCAACAGAATATAAATTTGCTGAACCCATATGCATTTTTCGGGCCGATGTTATACCGTAATACAAAATATTAAATAAAATATCCCAAACATTTTTTATTACTTTTATTAATCAATGACGAAAATGTGAAGCCGCGTCAAGTCAAGAAACCACTATATAGAGTTCACTCGTCCACATTCGCAACAAAACAAAAGCATATACCTACTCCAAGAAATAAAAAAGTTGTCTCTTAGGCCTATTGTCTTCCTAGAACTCTTTGTTAAGGTACTGTTTTAGGCTTTTGTTTCTTATCCAAATTTTATTCTTTCAGCACTACTTTGCTTTCTTTTTTTGCAAGAACAAGAAAGCAAATGATCCGAGTGTTCTTGGATACACTAAATTAATAAGTAAAACTTTTTTTTTGTGATTGCCACAGGCAAATGGAAGATTCAAGCTTCACAGATTTGATGATTAACACTGACGAGTATTTGGTTGATGACTGGGAACCAGATTTCCTGGTGATACCCGGAGAAACTACGGATCATCAGAGTACAAAACTGAGTTCTGGATCCGAATCCGGGTTCAGTTTGATACCCGACAGACCAACGAAGCATATGAAAGTCAACTCAAAATCTTCCTCTTCTCCATCATCATCATCTTCTTCATGTGGTTCTCTCACAGCAGCACAAGTGATCTCGTTCGGATCTCAAGACCCGAAGATGAGCGTTGTTGAGACATCGTTTAGCTTCTCCAACCAAGCAAACATGAATCAGAATGTTGGGTCCAAAAGAAAAGAGTGTGGTAATAGTGGAGGGAAAAGAGAGCCACATCTCATGAAAGAACATGTTTTGGCTGAACGTAAACGTCGACAAAAGCTCAACGAACGTTTGATTGCTCTCTCTGCTCTTCTTCCTGGCCTCAAAAAGGTCAGAGAATCTAGCAACCATTTTATTTGTTCTATTTAATAATATTTTTTTAAATATTAACTTTAACTAAAGTTAATTTAAAATTATTAAACATCTTCTTTTTTGAAAAAGGCTTAATTATATAAAAAAAATCTTTTGTTTCTATTTGCTTTTCTATTTTCTCTCAAAAATAAAATAAATTTCTTATTATAAAAGCATATATTGGAGTAAGATTATTTCTATAATAGAGTTTTTCTATTTAAAAAATATATATATAGAAAAGAGTTGGAAATGATCTTGTGGTTATAAAAAATTCTGAAAAAAAAATATTTTAAATAAGAAGTCCATTTTATAGTTGGGAAAAATTGCACTTGGACTTGGAAACTGCACGAAGTCCCTTAAGCCATGCTGTACTAAACAAGATTTTTATAAACAATTGTGTGTATGTTTATAGGCGGACAAGGCAAGTGTCCTTGAAGACGCGATCAAACATTTGAAGAAACTTCAAGAACGTGTAAAAAAGTTGGAGGAAGAGCGAGGAGGAACCAAGAAAATGGATCAGTCAGTTATATTGGTGAAGAGATCTCAAGTGTATGTGGACGATGATTCTTCGTCTCACTCTTCTACTTGCTCTGCCGCTTCTCCTCCAGCTTCTTCCTTAGACGAAGTTTCGATCTTGAAGCAGACAATGCCTATGATCGAAGCACGAGTTTCAGACAGAGATTTGCTGATCAGGATTCATTGTGAGAAGAACAAACGGTGTTTGATTAAGATCTTGAGTTCATTGGAGAAGTTTCATCTTGAAGTAGTCAATAGTTTTACTTTACCCTTTGGAAGTTCAACTCTCGTTATCACCATTCTCTCTAAGGTAACATCTTATAATGTTTTGAGTTTAGCTTATTGTTTTTTCCATACAAAAATGTAATTTTCATTTGTTTTTTCCCCTAATATTTTTGCAGATGGACAACAAATTTTCTCGACCTATTGAAGATGTTGTGAAGAACATAAGACTAGCGTTGGCGGAATAGTACATTTCATAACCATTATGTGAACTGATATCAGATTTCAATCAGAATAGTCGTTTTTTTAATTACTAGTTGGATAATAAAAGCCGAGGGAGGCATGAGTGTAATAGCTGGATTAGTGTGTGTGTATGTGTCTAATGATGGCTGTATCATTGTTTGATTTTTTTCCAATATCAATGATTTGATATTATAATGAAGATCAAAGAGTTTTTTTTAATTGGCTTCTAGGGAACAAAAAATCTCCGCTTGATTATGACTTCGCAGCTAAGCTGTAAAATTAAATAATCTAAGACTTGTCATTAATGACGCGACATAGCTAGATAATTTGGTCCACGCTTGACAAAGAAAAAAAATAGAAAAGAAAGTTGGTTGGCCCATGTTTTTCCTCAGGCTATAGATTTTTAAATTGATGATCTTTAAGGTAAAAATTAATATTATCTTAATTTCTTATACAAATGTTATGAAAAGATTGCATAGGATAAAGTATTTAATTGATATACACATCAAATACCACATTATAAATGCTAAGACTTTATAACTCTTCCTGGATCATAGTTTATGCCGTAATTCCTTCGGACCAAAACAAGAAGCATTTGTAATAAATATATATATTCACACATTAAATGACATGGAGTAGTTTCACAAGTATCTAAAAGTTTGAATATTGATGTGACAGTTTTACAATCTTTTAATAATTAATGTGTTCATGTATTAAATTTTTTAAATCCAACACAAATAAATGAATGTGTTTATGCACTAATTTTTTTTTAATTCATTCATTTTTAATCTTTATATTTATAAATTGAAATTTTCTCCGTACAACTATTGAATAATATTAAAGTTGAAAGAAGGAAATTACAAAAATTATTAAGATTCACATCAACTAAATTCTAAAATAAGAATATTTTTTTGAAATTGAAAGTTTTATATATTGCCGAATTTGGCCATGGTTAAAGTTTATCTTCATGAAAATAAAAAATAATTTTGATTGGTTATGAATTAAAGAAATTAAGGTGAAAACACCACACAAAATCTGATCTTTAGTTTAACTTAATATTTATTTATTTTTACAAAGTTTCTATATCAGACCAAGAAGTAGAAACATACCTAGAGAAAATCGGAAAACAGAAAATCTTTAAAAGAAAAGAAAATTCGCGAAATCGATTGAAAAATAGAATTCAGATGACGAGTGAAGAGATCACATTATTTTCATCACTACTCTAACTCTCTTTCATTTGATTGTATCGTATTTTTATATATATATTTGCCGAGTTTTTTATAAGAAAATCATGTTATTGATTATAGACTATGTTAATTTTGTAACAAATCCAACAATATTGACATGATGCCCAAACATTTTTATCGGTGTTCTTTAAGTATGGTCCAATAATTATGTATGTAAAGTAAGACTATATTATTTGTTTTACATTTATTTTATTTGGATTTATAATAGTAGAAGAAAATAAGTCTAGGTAAAATATATGGATTTGAATAACCAAACTGAACTTAATCTGAAAGTACTACTAAACACAAACTAAAACTAATTAAGTACTCAGATGGATATACAAGTTTAATATTCTGATAACCAGATCCAAATCCAGTTCAAACTGGAATATTTTGGATACCAAAAATATCTAAATCAAAATGAAATATATCAATTATTTTAAATTTTATATCTATTAGATATTCAAATATATGAACATATCTAAAAGTTATCAAAATAGTCACAAGTAAATATCTAAAAATAAATAAATGTTTCAAAATACTAAAAATATCTATTTGTTGTCCATCCAAATATTTAAAGTGAATAGTTTTTATGTAAATTTAATTATTATTATTACATTATTTAAATTTTTTATATTTTTATATTATTTTTATTTTCGGATTTTGAAGATTTGGATTTTTTTAAATAAAAAATACATAATTAAATGGGTGCATGAACTCGACTCCGAACTGAACATGCAATGATTCTTACCAAATCCAAACCAAATTCAAATAAATAACCGAATAGATTTAAATTTTAACTCTAAAATCTGAAATTCAAATAAATCAACCGAATCTAAACGGATGTTCCAAGACAAATTACTTAATATAACATAAAATAAATAATTTAATCAATTATTTCATTATGCGTCGTGCGTGGATTATTATCTAGTTTCTAAAATATTTACTACTTTTTATAGAGTGTGTTAGTTATTATAACAACAATAGTAATGATGATGTCTTCTCAAAAAATTTTTTTAAAATTTTTGAAGTATCTTAGATCCATTGAGAGACCTAGACCAATTTCATAAGAGTGGTGCAGCCCACGGATGGACCCTCGTTCTAGGTATTCAAATAGGCTGTAAAAGATATATTCATATCCACATGGCCACAAAATAATATGTAATGGGGTGCCATCGAACCCAGATTGTTTAGCAAATTCCAAAGTTCACCTACCACTAGACCACCACCTTGTGGTTTGTCTTGGTAAAGTTGGTGAATAAAACAACAGCTCAATGACAGATTTTGCTCATCTAAATTTTATAATATGATTTATAGGGATGAGTCTCATTAAAAAGAGCAGAGCAAGAAAGCATTATAAAGAAGTTCGCCATAGTTTCATCTTCTCTCTCAGGCATGAAGACCGAGACAGCCACATCTCCAGAATGAGCTTCCCCTCCAGTGACAGTTCTATTCCCTCATGTAATCGTCTCCTTCTCTTCAGTTCCACCGTGATTCTCTTCATCGGCGAGAGACCTTCTCTGACAAGTTTGTGTCTGCTAATTTAGTATCCTTCCTCTTTCTTCAACACAGATAACACAACCCTTGCTGCTCAAACTCACGCTTTATCCTTAGCAGGCCCCCTTGCTTATGGATCTGAACCCTCGACCTCCACTTCAACCTCCAGATCCACCGGATCGGACCACCCCTTCACTATCCAAAACCTCCACCATCATCGTGCCATTCGTCCCTCAACTCGAGCTCGTTTTGATAGATTTGAAGAACCTTCTGGTTATCTCGGTTTCTCACTTCTCGTTGGCTCTTTCGGTGACGTCGGCAACCTCCTCGTTTCAGCTATACTCAAGCCGAGGACTCTTGGAGTTTTTGTTGCCTCGTTTTATGGTTTAACTCTCACCAGAATTGGGTCTAGCGTCATTCCAAATGTTCTTCTCTCAATAATTTACGTTAATTCGGCAATTGATGCAGATGGACTCCACTCCGGCGACCAAATCTAATCGTTAAAGTCTGAGAAGACAAGCATCCTCCAGCGACATTTAACTTCCCCGCTCCATCCTTCCCATCCCTCATGTATGGCCTCCTCCACCCTTTAGATCGTTTAAGCTCTGAATAAATCAACCAAATCCAAACGAATGTTCGGAGATAAATTACTTAATATAACATAAAATAAATAATTTAGTATTGACTTCACTGTCAACTTCATATGAAGATTTATCATCTTGATTCTATTTGCTATTGTAGTTTATGAATTATCTTCAAGAGGATGTTTAGTTCCCTTTTGCCCTTTTGCCTCTCGGTAGTCTCTGAATTTAAATTTAATGAAAGTTTGAGTTTCAAAAAAAAAAAAAAAGGATGGCTCTCATTACTCTTTTCAGTGTACAAACACTAGCAGTGTTCGACAAATTTGCGTCTAATTCAGGACTATGTATCACAGTTTTAAGGTTCACTTATACTTGCAACCGATAAGGCATGTCACGTTTCTAACAAGAGGAATGAGTCACTAAATTGATAATACCCACTCTTGTATGTTCGATTCATAGGGTTTCTTTTGCAACAAACTCCATGAGTATGTGTGCTGCTTCTTTTTGGAGTGGCTGTTACGTGCAATAATACTAAGTAAAAAACACGTACATTTGAGGAAATATATCAAGAAGATAAGAAGATGAACTCATAAACGTTCTAGTATCTAAGAACACAGTGACTTCAGTTTATTAAACCTTTCAAAATCAGACTACTCGCAGGAACTTTTCTTGCGAGGCATTGTTCTTTTATTCCAAACAAATCACTATTGGAAAGATAAAACTATAGTGTTTATCAACTCCTCACTACTTCTTGACAAAGGTAACACCTTTCGCAATACTCCCTTCGAGCTCTTTCTTTGCCTTCTCTAACCCCATCCTGATCAACAGGGAACAAAACCGATATGAACATAGAGAACACGTTTAAAATCGAAGTGAAATCAACATAAGATTCCAAATTATACCTCTCGTATTCGTTCATTGGTCCAAGTCCGTACACTTCATCGACCCCACATCTTCCTAGACGCACCTTTGATGCGAAGAAGGGAAGCTCAGTCACCTGTGTGAAGAATAAGACAAGGTTTACATGTTAGTAACGCTAAAGAAAGATTATAGATGCCATTATACAGATGATAACTTCAGAAGGGACTGTACATGAGATGCCACAAATGCACACTCGACAATGTTTGCATCGCCTCGTAGACCCCTGAGGCAAGCATCTGCGAACTTCACTGCTGCGTAAGCCTGTTTTTCACATTCAATGTGATAAGAGACCGTTTTACTTGAAACTGCATATGTTACAACAAAGACCTACCATAGATAGTGTTGCAGAACCTGCACCAGCTTTAGCCTGTATAGTTATTAAAACAGTCAATGCACCGCTTGGATCAAAGTTAACAGCAACGAAAGAAGGTGAGAGAAGGGATTATATGTACCTCGACCACTTCAGTGCCACCGTTTTGGATGCGGTCTGTGAGATATTCAATCTCTTTTTGAGTGAAAGAGCATGGAGGTTTCACCTGTAACAAACTTAATGATGAGAATATAAACATACATAGAAATTTTGAACAAACATAAAAATGGTTTAATCATCTTTAAACCTGAGAAAGCAAAGGCAAAATTGTAACTCCTGCGTGCCCTCCAACAACCGGAACATCAACATCTCGAGGATCAAGACTCATTACTTCCGCCTGTTACAAAACATTAAAGGTCATCGCATTAACCAAGTTATTAAGACAAAGATAACAAACATGTGTGTTTATGAGTGCATACCACAAACGTATTAGCTCTAACAACATCAAGCATGGTGACTCCCATGAGTTTCTTAGGATCAAAAGTGCCCGCTTTCTTGAAAACCTCGGCTGCGATTGGCACCGTGGAGTTCACTGGGTTACTGATGATATTCACAATCGCTTTAGGACAACACTTAGCTATAGCTTCAGAGAGTGTCCTTACGATGCCGGCGTTAATGTTGAAAAGATCATCCCTGGTCATCCCTGGTTTCCTCGGAACACCAGCAGGTATAATCACTAGATCCATACCCGTAAGTGCTTCCTCTAGTTGCGATTGCCCGAGAAACCCACGAACCTAAAAACACACAAAGTTCGCAGAACATCGACCAAAATCTCAGAGTTTAACTTGGGATTAAATTAGTGTAAGATCATAAGCCACAAAAACTTTAGTACTGCACTACTGTCCATTACCTGAGCATAATTTTGCTAAATCAACTATTTGTGTTTCAACAACATAAACCATCATATAATTACAAATCAGGAAGAGGCAGCAATAGAATTTAGAACTGGTGACAGAGCTCATGTACATGGATTGAGCTCAGTGTTATCAGCTCATTAGCTAGTTGTAACAAGCAATTTCTCTACTAAACTATCGTATAAGTATCAAGTCATGATCATAACCCAAAATCAACTTAGAACAGCACTAATGTACGGTCCATGATCTTGGGCTTAAATGTTCTTAGCTTCTTTGTATTGTATCAGCAGTTTCTCTATTAAATACCATATAACAAAGCCAATTTTTGAACCAAAGCTTTACATACCTATATTCTTAAAAAAAAAAGATAAATAAATAAACTTTTGATAGTCAATAGCCTCTATGAAACAAACCATCAATTTTTCGATCAATCATAGCCACTAGAATCTATAACTTAGAATGGGGCAAATCTCCATGATCCTGAGCTTAATATTCTCAGCTCATCAACTTTTCTATTATAAGTAATAGCTCGAATCTTGAACTTAGAACAGCACCGACGTGCATGATCTTATTAATGTTTTAGCCTTATAACATTACCAATCTTCGAATCAAAACCTTATATTTTTAGAAGTTTTTTTTTTTTAACTTGTAGCTCATTTCCCTCAAAGAAACCATCATGGAAGTACCAATTTTCAAAAGAGACTAGAATATACAGCTTAGAACTGGAGCTAATCTCTATGATCTAAAGCTCTCTTAATATAGTATAGAAGAACTTACGATGGCACTAGTGTCCATGTGACTAATATCAGCGGTAACACCAGGAGCATTAGCAACGTCGTAGAGATGAAGAAGCGACACCAATGGATTCATCTTCATCAACATCGCTAGAGGCTGCCCTATCCCTCCCGCTGCTCCCAGTATCGCCACTTTGAATCCTGGAGATCCGCCTTTCGCCCGGCAACCCACCCGTCCCAGACCCGACCCGGAACCAATCTAAACACCAAATCAAATATTAAAAGAAATCCAAATGATCCGATCACCAAAACTGTGGATGAAGAGAAAAGAACCTGATCGAGATTGGGAGGGTTGAGATGAGCAGAGATTCTCGCGATTCGTTGGTTCGCATCCATTTTTGCTTCGATGAAAGGTCTGATTATCTGATTAAGCGATCACGAAAGGTGGATCGGGTGATGTTTTATATATATAGAGACAGAATTGATGACGTCAGAAATGGTTCCATGTATTGGGAAGCGTGATGATGTTTTCTTCAATCAACTAGTATTATATCCAAATTTGGATAATACAAATACAGCAATAGAAAGTGTCTAATTTTTCAAAGGTATCATTTGTTTCATATGGGCCTTAGAAGGCCTAACTCTCTCTCCTTCGGTCAATACTCGGACCCAAACCCGAATTAATTCCCCTAAGAGCATGTGCAATAGTGACTCTTAAGGGAGTCTTTAGGGAATATGGAACCCATTTTCTTAGAATTTGCATCAAAAAAAATGCTTAAAATCCTTTGATAAGGATTAATCCTTACACTGTTCACAGGCCCCATTGACCATGTGGCGGCCCGTGAATGGTCATCTTTTTATTTTTATTTTAAAAAAAAATCTGAAATATCCAAGATTAATCCTAAATGCCCTTTCGCTAAGGACTCTAGTGAGTCTCACCATTGCACATGCTCTAAGATAGAATTCTGAAAATATGACATCGGTATTTCAAGATACGTGGATTGGTTCTTGGTTGAATAATAACAATTATTTTCCTTCAAAAGATCTCATCAACTGACAAATATACATGTTTTACGTTATATCTATTATAGTAAGTCAAGGAGTTTATCATATAGCTAATGTTTTGTGCAAAAAAAAAAAAAAATCATATTAGCTAATGTAAGCATATCCCCACTTCTGCTACAAAAAGCGAGATCACGTCGAAAGAAACATAAGACAGATCCAGCCCATGAGAGACTCAAAAGCCGACACATTCTGTCTTCAATGACAAATATTTTGGATGCCAAAAGCTAAACATATCGAATCTCTCGTATAAAATAACTACATAAAATCCAAAAAGGAAGATTAACTTTTCGTCATCTGTCTGAAAACTATACCTAATCAGTATTTTGAAACTCAGAAAGTTTTTAGCTCTAACTAACTTCCACTGATTAACTTGCACAATTACGATCATAACAATACGTCTCTATAAGCTATTTCAACTCCACGCTATTTTTATTTTACACTTTATTTATAGAGTAGAGTTTTTTCTGACTATATTTATTTCCACCCTCATAATAAACAAACAAAAAAATTACTCTAAAATAAATAATAATATTATTCATTGTTCTTACTCAGTGCTCTATTTTGGAGATAAATTATAATTGGAGACTACTCTATAAAAATTAATGTACCTGAGAATCTATATTATAATAGTAGACTTTCTAGACTCCACAACGCGCCACGTCAACAGTTTTGTGGGTCCCGTAGATATTTTTTTTTAAACCCATAGTCTTGGTAAGATGATCACAAACAAAGAAATATATTTTAGTCAAGTGGTATAAGGTGTATAATTAAGTATGCAAGATCGTGGGTTCAAACCACGCAGCTATCATGTATTTTTTGATTTTTTTTATTTGGGTTATTATCATATGGGTTTTTTGTTTATAAGGTTTTTATGTTTTTTTTTGGGTTTATTGTTTTGAAGATCAAAATAGTTGTACAAACCCTAAAGCTTAACAAGTTTAAACCTAAAAATAGTTAAAAATGAATCCAAAACGAACAATTAAAAAAAAAAAAAAAAAAGCAAATCTCACGCGATTGCCTATGCGGATGGCTTAAAGAGCCTTAAAACTATCCTATTATAATATAGCTCAACCCAAAAATAACAAAAAATAAATCCAAAAACGAAGAGACCAAAAAAAAAAAAAAGTGAATCCCACGAGGCTGCCTACGTGGATGGCTTAATGAAGCTTGAATAATATAGATTAAAAGCTCAAAAAGTTAAATCACTGCACATATTTCTAAACAAAAAAATACACTTTAGCCAAGTGGTATAAGGTGTCTAATTAAGTATGCAAGATCGTGGGTTCAAACCACGCAGCTATCATGTATTTTTTATTTTTTTATTTGGGTTATTATCATATGGGTTTTTTGTTTATAAGGTTTTTATGCTTTTTTGGCTTATTATTTTAAAGATCAAAATATTTGGACAAACCCTAAACCTTAACAAGTTCAAACCCAAAAATAGTTAAAAATGAATCCAAACGAACAATTAAAAAAAAAAAAAAAAAGTCTCACGCGGTTGCCTATGCGGATGGCTTAAAGAACCTTAAAACTATCCTATTATAATATAGCTCAACCCAAAAATAATAAAAAATAAATCCAAAAACGAACAGACCAAAAAACAAAAAAAAAAGTGAATCCCACGCGGCTGCCTACGTAGATGGCTTAATGAAGCTTGAATAATATAGATTAAGAGCTCAAAAGTTAAATCATTGCACATATTTCTTAATATATATTTTCAAAAAAAAATAGTATGTGATATAAAATAAAATAAAAAACAAAAATTAATTATTTTCGTTATTTATTAAATGAATATGTAATTTCTCTTACATTTTAATAACTACTATAGTTTCAGTGAAAACATTCCTCACCACCGATTTCAGACTCGGCGAATGGATTCTCACAGTCGATGACGCCGTAGATAAAAATATCACATCATTTATGAAGAAAACTCAAACTTACAAAAAACCGTATATTAAAACCTATCTAATGAAACTTAAACAACGAATATTAACTTAATTAAGGTTATTTTGAAATTAATAAATCGTTTAATACATATATAAATACTATAAATATAGAATTATATCAAGTTTTGACCTACGATATAAAAACTATTTACAGCAAAAAAAAGAACACCTACTTTTACACACTAAAAACTATATTATAGCCTAACTATTCCTATAAATCTTACTTCGCATATAAACAACATTTAACACATTCCTAATATATTTTCAAAAAAATTTTATTTGAAATAAAATAAAATAAACAACAAAATTTAAGTATTTTTGTTATTTATTAAATGAATATGTAATTTCTCTTACATTTAATAACTACTATAATTTCATTGAAAACATTTCTCACCACCGACTCCAGACTTCAGCGAATAGATTCCCACAGTCGATTACTCTGTAGATAAAAATGCCACATCATTTATGAATAAAACCCAAACTTACAAAAAAACCATATATAAAAACTTATCTAATGAAACTTAAACAACGAATATTAACTTAATTAAGGTTATTTTAAATTGATAAATCGTTTAATACAAATATAAATACTATAAATATAGAATTATATCAAGTTTTGACAAACGATATAAAAAATATTTACAGCAAAAAAAAAGACACCTACTTTTACACACTAAAAACTATATTATAGCCTAATTATTCTTATAAACCTTACTTCGCATATAAATAACATTTAACACATTAGATATACAATATTTTCACTTTATACTCTTATTACATTCTTTCCATTTCATTATTACTTGGTGTCATTAGAAGAATCCACTAAACCAACAATCGAAAAAAATACACGGAAACATAATGATCTCGGCTCCGTGCTTGCGCGGAGAGTATGCAACTAGTATTACAAAATATTTCTGTTTTCTCGACATTGGTGTTGATCAAGAAGTGGTACTACATTTCATAGAAGGCAAAGTAGAACAAGAAATTTATCAGTAAATTCAGCATATTGAATAGCTTTTATTGTCTTCCGAAGAATATAAATGTAGACTTCAAAGTTCAAACTAGCAATATGAGATTTATTTTTCAGGACTCCATGAACATTTGTGATATTTTATTCAATTGATCAAAAAGAGAAAATACCAAATAAAGGAAATCCGATATGCGTGAATCGTGATTATCCAGTCATTTCACTTTTATTTTGATGCATCGTTAGCTTTAAAGATAAACTAATGGTATTGATTTGGCCCAAGGCTCACTTAAATTAATTCTCTCGAGTACCCCCTTTCTGAATTTATCATTTTCCATCCTTGCATCTTATAATAATTTTCCCAAAATGAAAAATGAATCAAATCTTTTAATTTTTAATGAGCCCATGCATCTACACATTTTTGTAGTTGTTGAAAAACATTGTGATTATTTAATTTTAAAATATTTTTGACAGTTCAACAATAAATCATTGCTGTAAGATTTTTTTGGTCATAATTTGCTGTAAAGATTCCATACGTAGATTTTATACATTTAGTACATATATAAATCGATTTAGTTTCCCTCTTTATGTATTAGAAAAAATCCGAATGTTCCCAATTAAGGTAACTTTCCGTAGTCATTATTCAATTATTATATTTAATTTGTTAACAAAATAGATTTGGTTCTCTATCCCTTATAAATAAACATCTCTAGACTAGTTTCAGCTATTACAAAAGAATGAATCATCGTCTTTCCGGAATAATCAGCCCACTTAGTCACATCCCCACTGATCCTATTCGTTCCTCCTTCAAGCCTCCGTTACCGGTCTACTGCAAAACCACAATAAACCATTTAAAATCTGTGACCGGTCTCGATGTTGCACCTGGCCTCACCAATCAAGAGATCTCAGCCGTTGAATCCTCTCTTGGTTTCTCCTTCCCCATTGATCTTCGCTCGATTCTTCAAACGGGTCTTCCCGTTGGTACCCATTTCCCCAATTGGCGAACCGGTTCGACCCGAAATACTCTCCTCCTTATCTTCAACCTCCCTATTCTTCATATATCCAAAATCGTCCTAAAAAACGGATTCTGGGTTGATTCTTGGGGAACCCGACCCGGATCCGACGCGGAGGCTTTATCGCTGGTTAAGAAATTGATGGAATTCGCTCCGGTTCTCGTCCCGGTTTACCAAAATTTCTACGTCCCTTCGACGACTCCGAATTTGGCGGGAAATCCTGTTTTTCAAATCGACGGCGACGGAGTTAGGGTTCTGAATTGCGACGTCGCTAGGTTTCTCCAAGGACTCAATCGAACGGACGGTCTTTTGGATTACGGTGATTTGAGAAGACGGCGACGAGTGGAGTTTTGGAGTGACGTGGCGGAGAGAGGGAAGGTTGCTGTGGCGCGTGGTCCAACGTGCGGGTGGTGGAGCGCGTTGAGTTGTGATGAGAGGTTAAGGGGGTGTTTGGACGACGCGTATTGGAAGCTGAGGGAAGCAGGGTGGAAGGAAGACGAGGTTCGGGAGATGATGATGATGGACGGGTTGGATAAAGACACGTGTAAACAAGCGTTTTACAATGAAACGGTCAAGCGTGACGTGGTGTCCGTGTTTGGTGGTGAGGGAAATGATAAGATGGACGATGTAGATCGAGACACGTGTAAGGAGGATGAAGATCACCAGAAAGGCGGAGAGGTAACGACGTTGAGGCATCTCCTGGATTCTCATGAGCCATGACCGTTGGATCAGCTAAAGTGGATCTTTTAATTTTATTACTCATTATGTAGATTACTAAAATGTGTATGGTTTAGCTGAACATTAGTTGGGGGTATTGGCAGTGTAAATGTCTCTGATATATTTAGGTCGTGTATGAGAAATTGGTTATTGGCTTTGTAAGGAATTTCAAACACCGACCAAGATGTGAGACTTTGGCTTTGACTTTGAGTAGCGACAGCTTGCTGAAAAGAGGCAGGTTTTCAACTCCGCCGAAAATACAGATCAAAAGAAACGAAGAAGGCGAGTATTGATAAGAATGATAAATTTTAGGTATTAAAAAGAAATACGCTATAGCCCCAAAAGAGTTCTTTCTTCCCGTACTCTCTTTCTAGTCTTGTGTACGGGAAGAACGGATCATCTTCATCCGTTTCATTACGACCCTCGTGTTTATTTGTTTCATGTCGTCAACCTTCAGGGTCCATTAAGCACAAGATTGTTCCATCTTAAACTTATATAAATTACTCCCTAACAGTGATAAAATTATTCTGCTAGTATGATAAATCTTACTGGAAGTTATTGACTAAGAATGAAACTGTTTCTGTTTGTAGAAGTCTTTTGGTGGTATAATCATGCTTTTATTTAACTAAAAACACTAGTGTAGTTTCAACATTTAATTTTTTTTTTACACAAAACTTTAAAATAAAACTATTTCTATAGTATTTAAATTTTTGTTTATTTAATATTTAAATATAAATAATAATTATTATGTATTTATATTACATAGAACACATTACAATAAAAAAATATTTTAAAATAATAGGTTGAAAAAAATAATAATAATAATAGGTTCACTCAAAAATTAATTTCCCATAGAGTTGGACTCTCCTAATTGCGCCTGCAATCATCATTCATATTCATTGGATTTCTGTTTGAAATTTCTCTGGTTAAAAATAAAGAATACATAAATGAAATAGTTGTGTATGAATTGATAATAAGAATAACACACTGTCATATTCATAGTTTATCTGCCATATAATCGAATTTCAAAGCATTAATTAAATCTTCAATTCCAAAGATAAAGGAGTTTTCAAGAATCTGAATGTGAAGAAAAAAGAATTACAGCCAATATGTAAAACAAAGATTACAACATATTCCATGACACAAACTGAGTTTCGTAAACTCTCTACTAAACAACATCTATGAGAGAGGATTTGATCAAACAGAGGAAGGACATCTACTACTCAGCTGCAACGTTATCACTGTTTCCTCCATTGCTAGAATCTGGCAAAGTTTCAAGATCAGTACGGACATCTTTTACTTCTTGAGGAAGGCTATTTTCTGAAGATGTATCAGAATGTTCTTGGTCGTTCTGTGTCACCACCTCTTCTGTCTCACCATTCTTGTTGCTTTCCTCTTTCTCTGACTCCGTTTGTGTAGTTTCCTCCTCTGGTTGCTTTTGTTCAGCATCAGTGTTGCCATTGTCTTTGCTAGATTCATTTTTGTCTTCCTCAGTCTTCTTCTGTTCGGTTTCTTCAACGTGTTCCTTCTTCTCACTATCAGTACTTTCATTCCCCTGTGAATCATCGTTGGAGGAAGACTCTTCTTTCACAATTTTCTCGGTTTCATTGTTTTCTGGTTTCTCCTGAGATGAAGACTCTTCTTTCTCCTCTGTATTGGTTTCTTTGTCTTTAGTTTCCTCTTGAGACAACGACACTTCCTCTTTCACAATTTTCTCGGGTTCCTTGTCTTCATTCTTCTCTTGCGACAAAGGCTCTTCTTTCTCCTTTGTCTCGGTTTCTTTGTCTTTAGACTCTTCTTGCGATGAAGACTCTTCTTTTTCCTTTGTCTCTGTTTCTCCTTTAGATTGCTCTTGCGAGGAAGACTCTTCTTTCTCCTTTGACTCGGTTTCCTTGTCTTTAGATTCGTCTTGAGATGAAGACTCTTCCTTCTCTTTTGTCTCTGTTTCTCCATCTTTAGATTCCTCTTGAGATGAAGACTCTTCCTTCTCTTTTGTCTCAGTTTCTTCATCTTTAGATTCCTCTTGAGATGAAGACTCTTCCTTCTCTTTTGTCTCAGTTTCTTCATCTTTAGATTCCTCTTGAGATGAAGACTCTTCCTTCTCTTTTGTCTCAGTTTCTTCATCTTTAGATTCCTCTTGAGATGAAGACTCTTCTTTATCTTTTGTCTCAGTTTCTCCATCTTTAGATTCCTCTTGGGAGGAAGACTCTTCTTTCTCCTTTGTCTCGGTTTCCTTGTCTTTAGATTCTTCTTGAGATGAAACTTCAGAAGATTCTACTTTCTCTTTCTCATCCGTCTTTACAGTGGACTCATCATTTCCAGAAGACTCTGTAGTCTCTGTTGCATTAGATGACTTGTTAGACTCAGGCAAGTCACCATTAGAATCATTGAACCCTTCCTTCTCCACCATCTCATTCTTCTCCATAGATTCACCTTCAGATTTTATTTCACTCGAATCATTCCCAGTGTTCTTTTCATCACTGCTTCTTTCCTCATTATCAGTAGACAAAACACTCTTAATAACAGAGTCTTCTGATTCTCCAGACTTTTCTTCCTCCACTTGCACCTTCTCACTAGTCTTCTCATCAGTCTCATGAACCACCTCACTAGAAGCATCATCTCCCTTGTAGTTATTCTCTCTAGCTTCCTCACCTCCTTCACTATCCGTCTTCTCCTTGCCTTCACTCTCATCACTCACTTCCTCTATTTTATCCTCTTTCTCTTCTGCACCTTCATTGTCTTTCTTCTCCTCAGTCTCATTCTTCTCTTTAATCTCTTCACTTTCTTCAGTACCACCACCATTTTCTTTATTCTCTTCAATCTCAGTCTCTTCTGTACCACTCTTCTCTTTACTCTCCTCACTCTCTTCTACACCGCCATTCTCATCCTTCACCTCAACCTCACTGCTTTCTTCACTATTCGAAGAATCATCATTGTTCCCACTTCCTTCACTTTCCTTCTCCTTATCCTCTACAACCTCATCATTTCTTGTCTCATCCTCTTTATCATTAAAACTCTCACCTTCTTCCTCAACGACAACACCAGGGTTGTTAAGATCTTTCCTCCCAAGCTTCACCACTTTCTCACCACCAACAACAACAGCCGCCTTTGCACTCTCTTCAAACAAAGCTTTCTTCTCATGAGAATGCTTGACTTGATAAAGCAACCATATCCCAACACCAAGCAACAGTGTCAGCTGTATACAATGCTTCACCTTGAACCCCTTTGATCTCTGTCCTCTCCGTGGTGACGATCTAAACATCCTTTTTTTTTTACTTTCCTCTCCAAAACCCTATTCAAGAAAGAAACAAAAAACTCAAATCTCAGATCTTTGACATTGTGTTATATACCTAAACTAACATCAAGATCTTGACCGGATCTAAGTAAATGTGTAATGATTGGTACAAATCTCAAACCGTTACACTAAAACTAAGAACATATCACAATCAGAATCTATACAAAAGAGGAAACTTTACCTGAAAAGGCAAACCAAATATTGAAACTTTAAATGTGAATTATCGTTTTCTTTTTCTGGGCAAGAAGAAAGATACAACAATTTTTGAAAAAGTTTAGATTTTTTTTTTTTTTTAATTTGGATCTAGAGAGAGATAGAGTAGTGTTCCTGTTAGATTGCCAATAAAATCGTGCGAGCCTTTAATTTGCAGGAGAGGATACAAAAAAAAATATATGTTTTAATTGTAGGAGGGAGGGAGCATGTGAGCTGGTTAAACGTCGTCGCTTTTATGTTCTTTACTTAAACACCGACAGTATAACGACGTCGTATTTTCTCTCGGGGTACTCTACTTGGTGGGTCGATTTGTGAGCCCATAATGTTTTTCACATGTGGGTTTTTGATTTGTGAACACTTTATGTTGTTTTTGTGTAATTTTTAATCTGTGTGACTTTGTTTAAAGCCCATTAAGAAAAAAACAGTTGTTCTGGGACAGGGTAGAACATTGAGCTCACCCTCATTGATATATTTTTCGACTGTTTTAATTGATTATTTTTAGCTTTGATCTAAACAAGCCAATGGTTTGGCTGATTCGTTAGCAAGCTTGCACTAAGCGCGATTGAACTTTCCGTCTACAACATTAGATTTTTTTTTTAAACAAAGCATTAGAGATGGTTTTGACTGTTAATAGTTCATAATATGTTCCTTTTTTTTTTTTTGTAATCTAACTAGTTCATAATATGTTCTTGACATACAAGAGAGGTGAGCACATGTCATAACGATATTAGTCATCTGGAATTTGGAAGTATATAGTTTAGAAATTTTAAAGGAAACATTTAGTTTTAAACTTGTGAAAACAGAAGAAGAACAAGTTTAACCAAGAGCTCTTGGTCTAGTAATAATAGAACTCCAGTTGGAATGTTCGTATTGACCACTTATTAGTCTGAGTTTACTGTCTAAGATCCTCCACGATTATAAAAAAACATAAGAAGCATAGAGATTGAATTGTAAACCATATAACTTGAGAGAGAAAAAAAACACAGGCGGTGAATGTGAGAGAAAGCTATGTATAATAGATTGATGAACTGGAAATTACTTAGGTTCCAAAAAATAACTGCAATTTTGATTATAAATAGTATAATTTGATAAAAAAATTATATAAAATATATATTAATATGATTAAAAATTAAGTTTGCTAGCTTTTCAATATTTTTTATTTTACAATTAATTTGAAACAAAAATTATAATTTTCTTTATATTACTTACTAATTTAAATTTAACTACTAAAGTTATTTTAAAATAGAAATACAAATTAAATCAAATACTGTAAATATTTTAGGTATTTATATAAAGATTTAAGTATATAATTTATAATTTATATTTTAGGTCTTCGGTATCTATTAAATATTTTTTTCAGTTGAAGGACTTGAGATATATAAAATATATTTTTAATAAAGTGTTAAATGTATAAAAAAAATATAGAAGATTTTTCAATTTGTGTCAGTATTCATCCTTTTCTATTTTAATTTGGTTAAAATAAAATTAGACCTTGTTTTGTAGAATGGTGAAGTTCTAGGGGTGGGCAATTTATCCGATACCCGAACTCGTACCCGAACCCGACCCGAAATATCCGAACCGAAATTCGAACCGAAGTAGCAAAATACCCGAACGGGTATTGAGTTAGGAGAGTTTGGATATCCGAACCCGAACGGGTAATACCCGAACCCGAACGGGTATCCGAAGATAATCGAACATATGTATATATACCTATTTATTCCTAGTTTATTTTGTCTCATTTTATTAAAATTATTTATATTAATGTTATATATAGTTTCATATCAGATAATATACATATAATTGTAAAAAAATTGATTTGTTACTCATTTAAAATGCATGTTAAGCTTCTTATTTCATACTTTAAACAAAATTTGCATCCAAAATTTGAAAATAATAACCAAAATAATGATTTTTATTTTCAATAATTTATTTTCAAACTTATTAATCGTCTAACTTATTAAACATTTAAAAAACAGTTAAGTTAATAGTTAAATTTTAAATACATGAAACTTAAGTAATTAAGAATTTAAAATTTTTCTTTCAAAATCTAAATATCCGAACCCGACCCGAAATAACCGAACCCGAACTAAAAATATCCAAACCCGACCCGATTTGTAAAAATACCCGAACGGGTTCTAAACCCCAATACCGAAATACCCGAAAACCCGAAATACCCGATCCGAACCCGAACGGGTACCCGAACGCCCACCCCTATGAAGTTCTATCCAAAATAATCTTGGAACAGATTTTTATTTAAAAATGATTTTTTTCAAAACAGATGAAGTATCTGTTATGTTCAAATGCATTTGATTATAGTATATTTGAAAGAAACATACTATACAATGTACATACTTATTTATTTTATATATACTATTAGCACACAAAAAAAGCTAGTAAGTGTGGTTTTAGCCGAACCACTAGTTATTTCTTGTGCTACGAATATCAAGTGCGGTCTGTTAGTTAGACCATGTCCATTAGTGTCTCTTAGGCTAAGGTTCTAATGAAAAAGAGGTTAAAAATAAATGAAAAAGGTTAATTATGGACATAGCCGCTGTTTAATTGGGAAGTTTAAGGGAAGGTAAGCACCCCTTACGTGGCGCAAACTGATTGGACCGTGTTTATTTTTGTGTCTCTCTCTTCGGCGACGAAACCAAAGGATGGTTTCACTTTCGAACTCTCCGACTTCTCTCTCTCTGTGGATCTTCTTTGTCGATCTTGTCTCTCAGACGATCTTCACGCCCACTCCGTCGTCTCTCTCCCTCACTCTCAGTCGTCTCTGTGGGTTCTCTCGATGAATCCTTCACGTGTCTCACTCCGTCCTCTCTCTCAATCGCTCCGTCCCTCTGTCTTCTATGTCAATCGGTGGACGGCTTCGCTTCCACTCCCTCCGCATGTGCTTCTTTTCCGCCAGCTCCTCGAGAAAGACTCTTCTCCGTCAACGAATATCTTCTTGCCAACATCTCTCTGTTCGTAAGTTTTTTTCATAAAAAATTAAATTTTGTGAGTTCGGTTTTTGTGAAATTATTGTGATCTTATAGTTTTGTCGGCGTAGGTGGAATATTTTTGAGATGTGTTTTAGAATTTTGTGAGTGTTTGCTCCTTGTTTAGATCAGGTTCATGTTTAGAATCATATATATCTCAAAATATTGTTTTATCTGTAGGGGAAGAAGGTTTCTTTTGAATCACGGAAAGCAAGTGATCCTGGTCTGCGTGAAAACATGAACAAGAAAAATGGAAATAATGTCTCTTTCTGCAGCCGGATTACTTATCGTGCAAAGGTGAGTGTTTGATGTTTGTTTTATCGTAGTTTTAGTCTTAGTTAGTGTAGTTTATGGCAACATGATTTAGTTTAGCCGTTTCTTATTCTTGTTTATGTTATTTTTTTAAGGAGGCTCTCGTCTAAGGCCATGTTTAGTGATACATGAAGACAATAAGCTCAGCACAGACAATAACCAAACATGTAATTTGGCTTAACTTCACTTACTTTGTTGGTTTAGTTTCATTGAGTTGGTTGCAATGCTTTATTTGAGTTTAATGTTTTGTTAGATAGGTTTGAAAATTAATGGAATTTAGTGTGAACGTCTTTGTTAGTTGGGTTGATGTGAATACTGTTTGGTGGTTGTGTAATTAAAGGGAATTTAGTAACGTTGATGTGATTAACATTTTGGTAGTTGTGGCATTAAAAACTGTCTAACTTGTTTCAACAAGTTAATGCTGTCTTTAAAAGGGTCTAACTTGTTTCAACAAGTTAATTCCTAATTCATATCTCCTTATTCTTCATGTCTCCTTCTCCATTGTTAATTCACCTCCACCACTTCTTCGCTATGGATCCATTTACCCCAGCTTATAGCTTTCAAAACCTCCTAAACAGCCAACAACCAAACACCTCCTTCTCCTTTGCGTCTGCTCAAAGCCCTAGTATCGAACTCTCTGCGTTGGATGCCACTGTCTTCGGATCACAATGGACTGAAGATGGCTGTGAAGACGCAGAGGCTGTGTCTGACCATAAGAAGAGATGTAAATGGTCTCCAACAGAAGATGGTGTCCTCATAAGTGCATGGTTAAACACCTCAAAAGATCCAGTGGTTGGGAATCGGCAAAAAGCAATAGCGTTTTGGAAACGTATTGCTAATTATTTTGCTGTAAATCCAAAGTTGACTGGGTTGGAAAAGAGAGAGGCGAGGCACTGTAAACAAAGGTGGGGAAAGATTAATGAGGGGGTGTGCAGGTTTGTTGGTTGTTATGATGCAGCAACGAAGCAGCTAACAAGTAGAATGAATGAGAATGACGTTTTGAGCAGGGCTCACACGATTTTCTTCAACGATTACAAGGTGAAGTTCACCTTGGAGCATGCGTGGTTGGAGCTCCGCCATGACCAGAAATGGTGTAGATGCAGTCGACGAATACCTCCGACTTGGTGAGAGCACCGCACTTTTATGCTTGGAACATTTTGTTCAAGGAATCATCAATTTATTTGGAGATGAGTATCTAAGAAGACTCACGCCAGAAGATCTTCAACGACTACTCGATATTGGAGAGATATGCGGATTTTCCGGGATGAAAGGAAGCATCGATTGTATGCATTGGGAGTGGAAGAATTGTCCGACCGCATGGAAAGGTCAATATACACATGGATCAGGAAAACCAACCATTGTTTTAGAGGCTGTAGCTTCACAAGATCTCTGGATATGGCATGCGTTTTTCGGACCTCCAGGTACATTAAACGATATCAATGTTCTTGATTGATCACCGGT